TCGAGCCCTTCGAGATACAAGTACAGCTCAGCTTGACCCGCCATCCTGAATGTTGTATGGAAGACATTTAACATTTTGCATGTCTGTGTTTCTGTGTGAGTGTTTTGTTTTCAGGTGCAGGCGCTGTCGTCTGTAACCAGAGCCCCTAAATGTTGACCAGTGGGAGCGCTGAGGTCGAACATCACATCCACTCATCACCACAATGGAAGTCTATATCCTCCTTATTTTGTCTTTTTAGGTTTTAAATATTACAAAACCCCAGATTTTATTAAACCATGCTAGGAATATTTTTCCTCCCTTTCTTTGTCTTTTCCACTGTTTTCTGTGCAGGGATCCGGTGAAGCGTCCTTCCTGGATTCAGGATTTCAGACAGCAGAAGGACCTGGACTTCACGAAGACACCATTCCTCCTGGATTACGAGACTGCAGAGGGACCAGAACTTCACAAGACACCTGCACCTTCTGCGTTCAGCAGCCTACGTCGACCACCGCCAGGATTTGAATCGGCTACAGGATTCGTTAGACTGTGTTTTGTACATCCTTTAGATTTAATTATTAGATTCATGTTTTCATATTTCTTACTTCTTAACATTTTTGCATGTCTGTGTGTTTCTGTGTGAGTGTTTTGTTTTCAGGTGCAGGCGCTGTCGTCTGTAACCAGAGCCCCTAAATGTTGACCAGTGGGAGCGCTGAGGTCGAACATCACATCCACTCATCACCACAATGGAAGTCTATATCCTCCTTATTTTGTCTTTTTAGGTTTTAAATATTACAAACCCCCAGATTTTATTAAACCATGCTAGGAATATTTTTATTTCTCCCTTTCTTTGTCTTTTCCACTGTTTTCTGTGCAGGGATCCGGTGAAGCGTCCTTCCTGGATTCAGGATTTCAGACAGCAGAAGGACCTGGACTTCACGAAGACACCATTCCTCCTGGATTACAGACTGCAGAGGGACCAGAACTTCACGAAGACACCTGCACCTTCTGCGTTCAGCAGCCTACGTCGACCACCGCCAGGATTTGAATCGGCTACAGGATTCGTTAGACTGTGTTTTGTACATCCTTTAGATTTAATTATTAGATTCATGTTTTCATATTTCTTACTTCTTAACATTTTTGCATGTCTGTGTGTTTCTGTGCCACTTCCACTGGCTGTCCGAACAGCAGACTCCCTTGCTGTCTTCAACATAAAGCGAAGGCCCAATTCTTTCAAGAATCACTTAAGCGAACACTAATTCAAGATTCTTATTGAAATACTTTGTTTTGCATTTATGCCATGGTTAATTTTGTATTTTTCTTTGCAGGTACTGGCACTTGCTTTCATTTTTGGCAGTGTCTGAGCTCAAGGGTAGTTTTGGAGCATGTCAGCCTGGCATAGTTTTCCCTCAGGATGGGATCATGTGTTTTATGTGGACATGAGTCCGGGTAAGTCTTTCTTCAGTAAGGAGCACTACCTCAATATCCACACAGTTTCTTCAGCCTCTGCCATGTTTTTATTTACCTCATTTTGTTGCTTTTTCTCTGTCCACCTTGCTGGGTTCACCGTGGACCCAGTGCCATAGGTTGAGGACTTTGGTCTGCCACTTGGAAGAAATCCAGAAAAGTGGTGACCTGTAGCAAAACGCTGTTGAACACCGTTATTGACCAATACTGGGTTTGATTTCGCTAAACTTTGTGTGCAAATGAGCAGATGTTAGTATGATAATATTTGACACGATATTATTGCTATTATTTTCTGGGTGTGTATGAATTTCCTCAAATGTTGTTGTTGAATCCAATTTTAAGCATGCTTTAATTCATGTGGAATTATTCTGAGCTAGGTTCCTCCTGGCCTGTACTTGCTGACATCTGTGCCTGGCTGGACTGACCAGAGGATGACGTGCAAGTCAGAGTTCAGAGAAGAAGTGTTGAGGATCTCTACACCAAGGACACAGAGGACAGCGAGGCCATCTCTGTTGTTCATCTTCAGTTTGGTTAAACGGTTTGCAATTTTTTTCGTTTCGTATTTTTTGTTACAGTTTAAAAATCAATGTGATGATGGTTCGTCGAACCTCGTGAGGAGACACGAAGTCACCGGGTAGGTTGTGACTGAATGGTAAGTGGAATGCAGTTGTAAGCTAAAGATTGGACGACTGGTTCCTTTCAAACGGAGAATCATTTATTTACAATGTGAAGACATACAAAAGAAAAACTATGCAAACCCAAAATAAACGATAGTTAAAATGTTGACCCGACTCATTGGCAGTACAGGTAAGTATAATTAGCCCTAGGCCGCAAGGCCATAGAACTACACTTTTAGCTTGGCTCTACTTCCTCCCCCACAGCTTCCTCTCAATCTGAGGTGAGTATCCTCGAGCTAGCCTCCCTTTGCTAAACCTCTCCCATACGTTTTATGGGCTTAGCCCCACCCCTGCATCTCCCATACCTTTTATGGGCTTAGGTAAGGTAATGAGTCCAGGTAAGTCTTTCTTCAGTAAGGAGCACTACCTCGGTATCCACCCAGTTTATTCAGCTTCTGCCATTTTTTGTTTACCTCATTTTCTTGCTTTTCCTCTGTCTACCTTGCTGGGTTCACCTTTTTCACTTTGAAATGTTTTATACTTAAGGGTGCGGTTGGTTAGTGAAGTGCAGGTTCTGGTGTATGTGAATCCAGGATTCTGCTTGATGTCAGTTGATTCTTCCTATTGTTTTGTATCGGGGAGAAGCATTTGAAAATGTATAATGATGCACTGCCATTAGTGTTGTATGCTGAAGTATAGCATTTTGTCACAACATTGTGGTACGTAGCATGTTAGGAAATTGTTTCTACAAATTTGTCCAACCCACTTTTTCCACAGGCTAACCTGAAAATTTATTCCTGCCTATGCCACTGGTATGTGTGGGGTTAATCACTGATGTATTCTCTACACTGTATTTGAGTGATCAGTGATTTACGTTCTCCAGTCTGTGTGTGAGGAGAGAGCAAACGTGTTCTCTACCCTAAACTGGTGGGACACCAAATGGCAACATGTCCTTTACACAAAGCTCTGTTGTTGGGAGGTCAAACTGTGCAAGCAGTTTTCTAAACTGTGTATTGGTATTGAAACTGCAGTGCGTTCTCTACACTAAACTGTTGTTGGGAGGTTGAAAAGTGAAGGGTGTTCTCTAAACAAATCTGTGTGTGTGTATTGAGACTGTATAAACCATTCACTAACTTGCATATGGGTATTCGAAATGTGATGCATTCTCTACCCAAAACTGTTGTTGAAAGTCAAAATGTGCAAGCTCTTCTCTGTGTATGCATATTTAAACTGGAATGCATTGTCTACATTAAATTGTTGGGAGATCAAAAAGTAAAAGGTGTTCTCTAAACTAAACTGTGTGGGTATTCAAACGGTGATACCTTTTTCTACCCTAAACTGTTGTTGGTACATCAAATTGTGTTTGGGTATTTAAACTGCAATGCATTGTCTACACTAAAATGTTGGGTGGTCAAAAAGTAATAGGTGTTCTCTAAACTAAACTCTGTATAGGTATTCAGGCTGTACAAACCATTTTCTAAACCAAACTGGGTATTCAAACTACAATGTGTTCTTTAGAGTAAACTGTTGTTGGAAGGTCAAACTGTGCAGGGCATTCTCTGAACTAAACTGTCCATGTGTATTCAGACTGCGTGAGCCGCTCTCTAAACTAAACTTTGCACGCTTGTTCAAACTGCGATGCTTTCTCTACCCTAAGGTGTTGTTGGGAGTTCAAAATGTGCAAGGCCTTCTCTAAACTGTGTATGGATATTTAAACTACAATGTGTGGTCTACATTAAATTGTTGGGAGATCAAAAAGTAAAACGTGGTCTCTAAACCAAACTCCATATGGGTATTCAAACTACATTGTGTTCTCTCCACTAAACTGTTGTTGGGAGGTCAAACTGTGCAAGGCCTTCTCTAAACTGTCTGTGTATTCAGACTGTGCAAGCCACTCTCTAACTAAACTTTGTATGGTTCTTCAAACTGCAATGCTTTCTCTACACTAAACTGTTGGGAGGTCTAACTGTATAAGGCATTCTCTAAACCGTTTATAGGTACGTATTTAGACTGCAATGTATTCTCTACCCTAAAGTGTGAGGGGGTCAAACTGTGAAAGGTGTTCTCGAAACTAAACTGTGTATGGATATTCAAACTGCAATGTGTTCTCTACTCTCAGCTGTTGTTGGGAGGTCAAACTATGAAACGTGTGCTCTACGCTATTGGTGGGAGCTCAAACTACAATGTGTTCTCTACACTAAACAGTATGAACATTCATGGTGCACAATGCGTTATGTTGCTAAACGGTGTTTGGCAGTCAATCTGTGTATTGTGTTCTTTGCATTGAACTGAAGACAGATCAAAGTGTGCAATGTGTTCTCTACACTAAATCGTTGCGAGGTCAAACTTCAAGGTCCTTTCTAAATTAAACTGTATGGACGTTCAAACTGCAATACATTATGTATACTAAACTACATTTAGTATCACTCAGGGTGCTACTTTATTTGCACTCATCTGTGGACTGTTACTGGTACTTGATTATGTATTGAGATGCTTAAATGTGGGATTTTTTTTATTTCAGTTGCACTCTTTTCTGTTGATTCATTCTCTCTTGCATATTAGCTCTATCTGAGGTTTTCTTTGTTACTGCACTTACGGCGGTATGCTGTTCACCCAGCAGGCAGCGGCCCATAAATGTCTGTTTTCTCACTGTGCTGTGTCTTTGGAGGTATTCTTTTTAAACTGCTTTATTGAAGTGACATTTCATGGTTCTACCTGTTATCTGTACATCCAGACAGAGCAGGCTGAATGACCTCTTAGAGCACGCCAGTGAGGCAAAGTTTTCCTCTGTTTGTCTAAGATAGGATCTCTGTGTTTAGTGTAGACATTAGTCCAGGTGAGTTTTTTTCATTAAGAAGCACCACCTTGATATCCTCAGTTTCAGCCTATGCCAATTGTTTGCCTAATTTTCTTGATTTCAGTTTTTGTGGGGCATTATTGTTTTTTCAAAATGTGAGTTAGACAAATTTACTTTCATGGCCAGATGACATTTTACAAAGGCTGGTCATTCTTTGAGCAACCACTGCGATCCATCCTATGCTGTTCTTATTAGATGTAGGTGCTGAGCCACTGCAAGGTTTGGCTTGAGCAAACCAATCTCATAGCTGCATCAAAGAGGAGACAGCTATGAGACAAAACAGACCATCTGTGTGAGCTATTAGGACTCACCACTTACTTCATCCTCTGACTAAGTGAAGGCTCCATCCCCTCAACCTACTCTCTCACCTTGTTTGATTGACAAATGAATACTTAGCTCACATTCTAACAAAGGAATCATTCCTTCCTCTCCACCTGGTCCTTCAGCTGCGGGTTCTTCCTCATGGCTGTCTCAAACCTGAGCCAATCACAAAGGTTGAAAAACAAATCAGCGTGTGCTCATGATCTTGCCCAAATCTGCCTGACCTGTGAGGAACATGGGTGGATGACCACATTCCTGGAAATTGAGATGTCTCCCATGTGGTCATTCACCCTATTTCTTTTTTTTAATTCATTAGGGGAGCAATGTAGAAAACTGCAGGAATATTTCCAGATGGAGTGGACGAAGAGTCTGGGGTAAAATGGACCTCCCGCCCAATATGAACATCTGTGGTTTATTATGTGAGTTTTCCATACCACATTAGCTTTGAAACTTGTTTCTTCTTGCAGTCCTCACTATGAAAGGGACTTTATATTATTTAAGGTTCTTGTATATTTCCAGACATCAACCCCCAGAAGAAGTGCAAGGTCCAAAGATCCATATGCCACTCGGAGGCACTGTTAGAACAATTTTACATCCCCTTAAACACTGTCTCAGAGGCAGCTTCTGTGAGAAACTCGGAGGGCTGCATTTGGATTCTCAGTGTCCCCAGCCATCGCAGGAGCTCCCGTGTACCCCAGTTGATCAGCATCCCTCCCTGATGATGGTAAGTAGGTTCCTTTCACTTTTCATTAAAAACATTACATGGCCCTTGTGTTAATGTTTCTTTATCTCTGTGACAGGAAGAAAACACTACCAATAGCGAATGAATGAATGACTGTGCCCAGGTGAATGTGGATTTGGCATATCTCCTGAAATCGCAAGACTGAGCTCTGCATGTACCACATTACATCAGATCGACAAACAAGCGTCTTGCCGGTTCTTAGCACAAGAGTCTTTGAGACGAAGAAATTCAGGACATGGGCGAAGACACTGATATTCCAAAAAGCCGTACATTTTGAATATTTGAAAAGTCTTTTGACTGTGAATAAGTTTGTTTTGATGTAAAACGATTTTCTGATTGCTGTATTTTGACATTTAAGATCAGTTCATGTTACATTTTCATGCTTAAATTTACAGTAAAAAAACTAGTTAAATGTAAAAAGTTTTTACAAATTGTTGTATTTGATCATATCTGTAATGGACAGTTTTAAAATTAAGGGTTAGTTCATTTTTCATTTCAATATTTGAACAGAAAAGTTTCCAAAAATGTTGTTTATTACTTTTAAGTGTTCAATTAGTACTTGTGATATTAAGGTCTTCTGATTTGTTGTTAATATATACACTGATCAGGCATAACATTATGACCATCTCCTTGTTTCTACACTCATTGTCCATTTTATCATCTGCACTTACTATATAGGTGCACTTTGTAGTTCTACAATTACAGACTGTAGTCCATCTGTTTCTCTGCATACTTTGTCAGCCCCCTTTTACCCTGTTCTTCAGTGGTCACGCTGCCCACAGGACGCTGTTGGCTGGATATTTTTGGTTGATAGACTATTCTCAGTCCAGCAGTGACATTGAGGTGTTTGAAAACTCCAGCAGCACTGCTGTGTCTGATCCACTCAGACCAGCGCAACACACACTAACACCACCACCATATCAGTGTTACTGCGGTGCTGAGAATGATCCACCACCCAAATAATACCTGCTCTGTGAGGGTCCATGGGGGTCCTGACCACTGAAGAACAGGGTAAAAGGGGGCTAACAAAGTATGCAGAGAAACAGATGGACTACAGTCTGTAATTGTAGAACTACAAAGTGCACCTATATAGTAAGTGGAGCTGATAAAATGGACAATGAGCATAGAAACAAGGGGGTGGTCATAATGTTATGCCTGATTGGTGTATTTTCAGTTTTTAATTGTCTATAATTATTTTACTTTTCATTTTAAAGTATTTAACTCTAACACAGTGAAATTAGGAAACAAAAGTTCAACTTGTTAAATGTTTGTTTTTAATAAATGTTTTGTTCTGAGGTTATGGTTTTGTCATTCTCTGTAATTGGGAGGGGCACTAATGGTAAAGTCTGAGCACTTACATTGCATTACATTGTAACACATCCCTCATGACACTGATAAAAAGTCTACATGCATTTCAGCATTTGCAACAAATAGTTAGGGTCTGAGTTACTGGCACTAATGTATGAAAGCCAGGAACCCTTCCTGTTGAGAGGACGTATGGACATGGGACCTGGACGGATGTGCTTGGCTTGGGACCCTGTAAGTGATTATGGTGTTTTGCCCTAATTTTCCCTAGGCTTAGGAGCCAGTAGTACCAAGAAATCTTAGTAGTACCAAAGTGGCTCTGTTCCATTTAATGAAAGGACTAGGTGGGTGGGAACACTAAACCCTCATATGGCACATACGGGGCCCCATGCTGGAAGCCCACACTAAGCCCTCATATCAGGGCTTATGTTAGGCTGCTGACATAGGGGCCCACATGTGCCCCTGTTTCATGACTGACTGGGGCTCCACAACAGGTAGCCCATGGTGGGCCACATTTATACATCACATTTTAAGCCCATTGCTGGGATGGCTCGCCAACATTGAGGCCCACATGTGCCCACTATTTTACGTTATATGTGGGCGACCCACACTTAGTGCCTTTTGGGGCTGGGTGGGTTTGGCCACAGTTGGGCCATTAACAATCTGTCAATATATGTAAACATTACCTCAACATTATGATATTTTGGAATATACAGTATGTTTTAATATTTTGCTCAGACATAAACATGACTGATAAATTTTGTAGACAGCATCTAAATCACCAACCAAAAAAATGTATGTACATGCAAACTGTTATCAGGATCCGAAGCTTGAAGCGTCCACAGATACGGCTCACCAAGATTTCATTTGCATGTGAGGTACACAGCTCCAAGCTGTCAAATGTCCAGAAACTTCCAACCAAACACACACTTACAAACACTTAGGAGGACAGGGTCTGTTAATATAAAATATAATCAACAAAAATATTAATGTAAAATCTTAAATTAATGCAAAAAGTGTAAAAACAAATTAATGATTATAACATTATGTCAAAATTTTTTATGGTGCCACATCAATGTCAAAACTAGGGGGCGCAAAAACACAGGATGAAAAATATAAACTTGCAAGTTTTAACAATTCGCGTGTGTAAATATCCCTCCTGTGAGCGTAAATGTGAAACTCGTGAGCACAGAAAGAAGTCCTGCGTGTGTATTTATCATCATTTCGCGCTCAAACTGCCTTTTTTTCATTCTTGAATGTTTTTTTCCTTCTCGATTCGATAGTTGTCCTCACGCGCCATGTGAATTACCTTCGACTGCTTTCTGTGCTCGAGTGAAATTTTTGTGCTCGAGTATTGGATTGGGGTGGTTTTGACAGTTTGGGGGCGGGCATGGGGGGGGTGGTTTTGACAGTTTGGGGGCGGGCATGGGGGGGTGGTTTTGACAGTTTGGGGGCGGGCTCATGGCCGTTTCTGTCAGCGAATGCTATTGGCTGATAGCTCCTGGTGTTGTGGCTGACCGCACAGTACGAAAAGCCCTTCTCCAGAAGACAAACATGGCGGACGAAGACGAGCGTCGGCAGGTGAGTAAGGTTAAAAGCAAACTCTGGTTTATCTAAATTATAAGAATAATGTAATAGTCAAGCTTAACATGGTTAAGTTTTTAGTATCATGGTGGTAGTGCTTATCCATTTAGTTTAAACTTAATCTGTACGAAGTGTAATGTTAATTTAGCTAATAGCTCCCGTTAAGTGGAATTAGCAACGAAATATCGGCAACTTACATGATGTAAAAGGCCTTTTTTGTCTGAAATAAGAAATGAACGTGACATCGACAATAAAATTTCATATCTTTAGTCTCTTGTTATTGGCTTCAGTGTATAGTTCAGGGGTGTCCAGTCTTGTCCACAAAGGGCTGGTGTGGGTGCAGGTTTTCGTTTCACTCAAGCAGAGCACACCTGACTCCACTCTTTTAATCAGTCAGCCTCAGTCTTCAGACAACTTAGCATGTGTGCTCCTGCTTTGTTGCAACGAAAACCTGCAGCCACCGGCGCTTTGCGGATAAGATTGGACACCCCTGGTATAGTTGATTTGTCTCCTAAAGTATCAAGCTACACTACAGCCGTTTGGCTTGAGCCAGCTAGCCAGGGGTAGTAGCTGGCTAAGTTAACTGTAACATCAGTTAACAGTGGCCAGGACAGGTCAGAGATAAAACAAACAGTATTTTGATATGTGATGATGTGTCTGAATGTCTGGTGTCTGAGCTTTTGATAGGTGTCAACTATACTAACGATAAAGCCACATTTTCCATTAACTGACAGTGGTCTTGACAGTGGTCTTTGAACTATATATATATATATATATATATATATATATATATATATATATATATATATATGGTATTTTAACTTTATGGACATTGTTTTAACTGCCAATTTATTAATTGGCAATTATATTAAAATGTAAGCAATAACTTCATTTGCTTGGGTTAAAACACATTAAACTGGTAAGCATTGCTAAGCAACCCCAGCTTCATGTGTCCTCAACAGAAGACCACTGTCCACACTGTTCCTTCCAAAACTGAAGAAAGACCTTAAGAGTTTTGTGGAAGGTTGGAATAATCATCCAATCCAGACTGAAATAGACACATCTGGGTGGACGGTGTGTGGTCAGTAAAGGACTCATTATGAAATGAAGCTTCTCTTGTTAAATATCTATTCAGAAAGCTAACTTAGTCAGGAGAGGTCTGAGGCAGCGCGGCAGGTTAGTTAGAAAACAGAGAACATCTCCTGAAATGATCAGTTTTACTCACAAATACTCGCACAAATCTTCACCCTTTTCGACGTTGTTCCTGTTTTTGTGTGTTTTTACCCTCCAAATTCCTCTAAAATCTCTTCAGTTATGTAAGTAATGATTTCCATGTTGGAGAAATGGTTCTAAAAGAGTCAGTGAGTCAGTGTTAGCTTTAGCTCGTAGCTGCTTAACTGTACATGTAAACTGATTTACCAAGTGACGTCACTGTGATTAAAGCCCTGTTCGGTCTGGATTAGTTTAATCTGGAGTGGAGCTGTAATCTGAGTGATTATCAGTGAGATCTGTGATTTTAATCCAGTACAAATCTGTATTTTTACACGTCTGCTAAGTAAAAATTCCAGAGTGAATTACTTTCTATAATTCACCAAACCTGGAGCTCCTTCAGTCACAGTAGTCCTGTTCAAATCCACCTAATGATACTGTATTAACAAATCCTAGTGATAAACAAAAGCAAAAAAAACATCATTTCCAGGTTTTTTGCCAACCTGGAAATGATGTTAACTGCTAAAATGGAGCTCTGAACACAGTTCTATTATCATCAAGTTCAAAACAGCAAAAAAATTCTGGTAATGGGTGAATTAGAAGGAGAATGAAATGAAATATCTGAAAGTACCAGTACAGTTTCTGTCCCGTTGGATGTTTGTTAAGTTAAATGAGTTCACTTTACTAGTCTAATGCTATTCTATCTGGTATTACCTGGGAGTTACTGTTGTTTGTCCTTTGGATCTGTTTAACTCTAATCTTAATGCTGAAGTCAACGTCTGGGCTGGTACACACACACACACACACACACATCATCTAAACCGCTCACCCTACTGGGTCGCGGTGGGGTGCTGGAGCCTATCCCAGCTCTGGGCTGGTACATTTTTATCTAAATTCTGGGGAAAAGAAATTTGAGAAAATTGGATGATAAGTTAATTATTAGATTCATGTTTTCATATTTCTTACTTCCTAACATTTTTGCATGTCTGTGTGTTTCTGTGTGAGTGTTTTGTTTTCAGGTGCAGGCACTGTCGTCTGTAACCAGAGCCCCTAAATGTTGACCAGTGGGAGCGCTGAGGTGGAGCATCACATCCACTCATCACCACAATGGAAGTCTATATCCTCCTTATTTTGTCTTTTTAGGTTTTAAATATTACAAACCCCCAGATTTTATTAAACCATGCTCGGAATATTATTTATTTCCTCCCTTTCTTTGTCTTTTCCACTGTTTTCTGTGCAGGAATCCGGTGAAGCGTCCTTCCTGGATTCAGGATTTCAGACAGCAGAAGGACCTGGACTTCACGAAGACACCATTCCTCCTGGATTACAGACTGCAGAGGGACCAGAACTTCACAGACACCTGCACCTTCTGCGTTCAGCAGCCTACTTCGACCACCGCCAGGATTTGAATCGGCTGCA